CGTTGGGTTATTATTTAGATGCAGCCCTCTCGGGTAATGTATGCATTCTTTTGTTGTGCTATTTATGAGAAAAACTAAAACCCCAAGGTTATTAAAATTGCTATAGTAACTCATCAATTATGACGCTTAAGCATACGCCAGTTATGAAGCAAAAAGGCTTCAAGGCTATAACAAAGTCAAAGAAATAAAGAAGGCAAAAGCAAGAAAGTCAGGGGTGGTTTAAAATAAACCTGAGCGTGTTTTGTAACATGGAAACAAGTTCTGAAATAATCAGAGGCCTCACTGTCACGTCACCACTGATGATTTGTAAGATTCGGAATTCAGGCTTCATTTCTCTATTCTTTGTTTAAATGGGTCACTCAACGGTTGCATTACATGGCGCTTGCTTACAAACTGATACTGTTGAGTGGGTAGAACTGTCAGCACTCTTTTCTGTGTTCAAGCTGTAAAAAAGGGGGGTTTTAGGACTGCACACAATATGTCAAAATCGCGAATGAATTAGCAATTTAATTAAAGAAATATACCAAATTCAGAGTAAAGTGCAGCATTTAAGGCCTGTTTACAACAACGATGATAACTATAAAGATAACGTTCTAAAAATCATTCTCAATATTAAAGGAACCCATGACCTTGGTGTTGCTAACGCCAAGCTTTGCTGTTTGAGCTAGAGGCCCTCTCACACCAAGGACGATAACTATAAAGATAATGATAAAGATAGAGTTCTAAAAATCGTTCTCAATATTAAAGAATAGCAGAGTCCACACCACATCTATAACGATAAAGGCACAGAGAAACAATATTATTTTATTACATGCTTTTTAATTTTACATTTTTATTACAATACATTTTTTGGTAAAATATTTTTAATTTATAATAAGCACAACAAAATCATAGTAATTATTTTATAGTTATACTGACCTGTCAGTGTGGGAATGTGGTTTATAAAAACTCAAGTGGAAAGAGATTTCTGAAAGAGGTTCGAGTTGGTTCTTGTAACACCCACATTTTTTCAAGATTTTCCAAAATTATTTAGCCCTAAAAGGATTTATGATTGATTATTTCCAAATATAGCTATTCAAGTCATCAATTCCTGTATTTTTTTTTCACACTGCAATATATAATCACAGAAAAACATGTCAGATTTTTCCAACATCGGATGTATTCACAACCCTAGGATGTGTTGACAGTATCAAAACAATTGAAATTATTTAGTTCATGAAACATTTGAATTAGCTACGGCGCACCAATTAAATATCTCTCGATTAGAGCGACGAAGAGTTCAGGTCGTGCCAGTAAACAACCTGCCAACTGTCCTGTACGAGCGTGGCGATTCTCACCCACTCGCTCTCTGCAGCGCATCCATTATCCAGTAACATCAACACTAGTGGGGCGGGTGGATGGGGGGTTGGATGTCTAATGGAGTGCCAGCGCTAATGAGATGAATCTATCCATTATAATGCTTTAACGAGAGTAAATCTGCATGGCTGGTAATTAGTCCACGCCCCTGCATTAGCTCCACTCCTCGGAGGAGAGACTCTGTCTTGTGTTGCCAGAGGACATCAGAGCGGCTGCATGCATTATGCTCCAGATGCTGCAAATTTTCATCATTTAGATGTGTTTCCATCAGGGAGCGGATTGATCAGGCACGGGCACGGCGAATAAGAGCACAGCAAAATGACAGGCCGGGAAGGAAAACTGCTGGCATTGTTCAAAAAGAAACCCCATTAGGCAGCTCCCAGTTGCTAAGCAGACACGTACGGCACAACTATTTAGAGCGGCTGCGAAGCGATAGTGGGTTTACAGGAGCCGAGGCATTGCAAGATTCGAGACAACAGTCGTGTGATTCAGCCAGGATAACAAATCAGACAGGTGACTGAGAAGCAAACTGCACACTTCCTACTGAGATGAGCCAATATTAGTGTTGTGCATACTACAAAGGTCTTATTTTTGGTCTTTTGGTGCTTTTATTTAAAGAGATTAGAATGAGTAATAAAACGGTAAGATGAGAAAGTGTTGCGAGCCTGATTAGAACTCATATTGTCTGTATGAGCACCTCAGGTTTCTGTTAAGCCACAGCACTGATATACTACAGTGTCCTGTTTTTAGTCTTTTGATACTTTTATTTAGAGGACAGTATTATAATAATAATAATAATAATAATAAGAGCAAGATCAGGAGATGTAGCAAGCCAGATTAGAACTCAAATTGCAAGAGCACCACTGCTTTGTTAAACCACGGCTCTGACAGACTAAAGTGCCGGTCACACTATACTTTTCATTCCATTGACTTCCATTCATTTTCATGCAGAAAAGTTTCGCATTTCAGTGGGTTCTGAAGTTCAAGTTTGGTGAACTCTGACCTGCAAGTTCGAATCACATAAAACCATGTGACCAATAGAAGACTGATATGTCAAGGTATGACCTCGCAGCTGAATATTCAAAACTGCAGCGTTGCACAAATAAAATGAATACCATATAAGCGGGTTAGCGCAATGTCTATGGTAACATATTAAACCGTAAAATGACTGTAAAAAGCTTGATTTACAGTTCAGATACAGGTTTTCACAAAAACTAAAAGTTTTATAAAAAGATAAACTTTACATTTCAGCCTTTAAACAAATTTTAAGAAAAGGGACAAGTCAAAAGTATCAATTACATTAATTTAAACTATTATTATCAATCAAGTATTATATTAATTTAATAACATATGAATATATCTTAGTGTCTTAAATGTTTAGATTTTTATAATGCATTAGCATTAGCTTACTGTCGATCCACCGGCTCACATTTACAACTGCGTAAAAATTTGTTGCGTAAAAATATGGGTTGATTTTCCCATTGGTCTGAACAAAAACAGCAGAAGGGCTTACTGAAAATGCCAATTAATTTTTTCATTTAAAGGACAGTAGAGAAAGTAATAATAGAAGCACGATCAGGGAATGTTGCGAGCCAGATTTGAACTCAAATTGTCTGCATAAGCACTTCTGCTTTCTGTTAAGCCATGGCTCTAACATTCTATAAAGTCCTATTTTTAGTATTTTGCCATTTTGATTCAAAGGAGAGCTATAAGAGGAACAAGATCTGGGAATGTTGCGAACCAGATTAAAACTCAAATTGTCTGAATGAGCACCTCAGCTTTCTGTTAAGCCATGACTCAGACTTACTAGAGTGTCCTGTTTTTAGTCTTTTAATTTTATTTAGAGGAGAGTAGAGAGAGTAATAAGAGAGCAAGAGGCAAGATCAGGGGCCAGTTGCATAAACTTAGCCACCATGTTAAGACTGTGTCTTAAGAACTAGTTTGACCAACTAGTAGTTGCCAAGAGGTAATCAGTCGTACTTTTTTTCCCAATACAAATAAGACCAATCTACCTTTTCATAACTGAATTAAAAAAAGTTATGACCAGTCTTGAAGAAAAAAGTTAACTTTTTAAGACTAGTCTAAACAGTTTATGCAACCGGCCCCAGGGAATGTCGCGAGCCAGATTAAAATCACATTGACTGCATGAGCAACACAGCTCATCACTAAACCAAGACTACAATGTCCTACAACATCTTTACAGAATGTTGGATTCAAACCCATGTCTTCTGAATGAGCACCACAGTACTGAAATACTACACAATCTTAAAAGCTCTTCTTCAACCTCAGCAGAACAACAAAACATTTTGTCTTAAAGCCATTACCTCACTGACTTCCATTTCAGCAGCCGGACTCCGGAGTGTCTAAATATTCGGTGTATGGTGGTGAATAAAGCTCATCTAAGCCTTTCTCAAATGACGTCCTTGCACTAAAGAAAAAAGTGTTCTGAAATGGGCAGATTAGATTAGCGCTAGGAAGCTTTGATCTAAAGCTCGCTGGCAAGCTTTGATCTGCACAAGCAGCTCTTCACCATGACCAGAACACAATATGAGCCCATTTCACTTCCATTTGTATCAATTCTATGAGCATACACGACGATGAGAAGCTCTGCTCACCGTCAGTCACTGCCATTTATCCCTAATCAGAGTCACTTCAAGTCATGAATGGCGGCAGTGTTCCTGACGAAAAAATGACCATCAAGGGCCTGGAGATCAGAGCGGCAGACTTCAAATGGAGACCATATTTACATAGAACAGCATGTGTGGAAACACATGATGGCTGAAATGTACAATTATTAAGCGGCCGACAGACCCGGAAAGTTGCAGGTTCAAAACCCACATAAAAAACCTTTGAACCATCATTATGCAGGTGGACTGTCCTTGAAATAAATTGTCACATGAATTCCACCAGCCCTGGTCATGAGGCCATAAATAAAGATTTTAAACTGACTGCCTAATTAACATCAACAATTAAACTAATCCAATTAAGTCGCCTTGACAACTAGAAACATTAAGCAGCCTTTCCAAGATCCATTTCTTTCAGCTAATCATAATTCAATTAATTAGTACGCCATTAACATTAGCATGAATATGAATAGGCTCTTCTTCATTTGAGCCAACCTGTGTCAGAAAGGTTTGTAAAATTCCCTGGGCGTTACTTTTCAAGTGTAATTTTTAAGGTTATCAGCGTCAGCCAGAGTCTCTCTTCATGATTGGCATATATCCAGCGGCTCTCTGATTCACTTTTGCATTTTGAAGGTGCTAGTCATAATTGTGACAAGATACAAGCAGAAATGCTTGAGCCACTCCTATAGAAATAACTTTGGTCACTTATTTTTAGTGTTGTATTCCAGGCATGTTTTAATTAGATTTTATTCTATTAACCTCAATGTTTATGTAAAATTCTGAGATCAAAGCTACTAGAAGTGGAAATAACCTGAGGTTTCTGTTCTGACGTTTTAATGAAGGTGATAATTTGAAGCGAGCGCCTCTCAGAATGCAGGACCTCCAGGTATTCACCTCCCACATTCAAAGGTCAGGAAAAGAGCAATGGCAGAAATAACGATGGTAATGCAGTTAACAACTGCAGGGCTTGAAGAGCGTGAGTGAGCGTGGTCTGAGGCGAGAGGAAATCATTAAGCGTACCTGGAGGAAGGTTGGGTCTCTTCCTCTTTTTGCTGTTTTCTGTTCCGTTTTCCAGAGGACAGTCAGAGCCCAGAGGACCACTGGAGCTGTTGAATTGCAGGGGTTCGTTGTTTGTGGAAGGGTCAAAGGACAGCGGATTCAGACCTGTAGAGGGAAAGAACAGATAAACTTGGTAAGTCTGCATGTTCTGTAACCATAATCTCAAGAGTTTATATAGAAACTTATTCTGGCCAAGGAAGACAGAAAAGTCTGCCTGATAGATGTGTAATATGACCAACCACTTTTTCTGTGTGGTTTAAAAAAAAAAGTGATTTAGCTGTGGGAAGATATGGGAGTACATTAATGTAACGTAAAATGTAACATTATATATGTTTAAAACAATATACATTTATAAAATGTTATATTATCATTACCAACATTCTTGTCATGTCAGAAAGCATGTGAATAATTAGTTATTTCAGTCTACTGACGGCTCTAGTAAAAAAAAAAAAAACATAAATACAAATATAAAAAGCCATATTTAATTTTGGGAACATGTTGAATATATAAGTTGACCCTGAGAGGTCAAGCTAAATATCTACAGCGGATCTAAATATTTATAATTAATTATAACTAGTTATGATTAATTATTCATATTTCCCCATGAGCTGATTCGCTACACTGTCATTACATTTAAAGAAGGAGGTGCCTCACATACTGTAGGGCCCTTGGCAACAAAAAATTTAAGAACCCTTGTTCTAAGACATCTTAGATGTTTACTTGTTACTACAAAGCCTCATGCATACTACAAAAAAAACTCTTGCATATCTTACAGATCTCATAAAATAGCACTAAACCTCCCTTGGAATTTCTCATTTTAAGCCGGGCTCAGAAAACAGGAGTTTTAAAATCCTAACCGATTATGAAATCTGGTTGCAGCAAACACATAAGGAGAATCTTTGCAGATTTTCTTCCCTCAAATCTTAAACCTGCACACACTACAAGATTTGAAAATCGTGGCGTATCTCACACTACATGATATTCTCAAGATTATCATGCTAGAGGGAGCGCCTCATGTGATCTCATGCAGCAGATCGTCATAGACGTTTCAACAACTCTTTACATATGTTAGCTAGCATGCTAGCAGCTTTCTACACTCACCCAGTACGTTCAAAACGGAGGCGATTTCACCCCAGCGCTTCTCTATATCCTTATGGATGTGGTACGTTTTTGACAGATTATACAGACAGTCGTGCTATTGCAAAACTTCCGCAAGCAGTGTCCTCAATCTCCATTATCCAACAGACCCGTACAGCAGCTTGTTTTGCGGTCGCGCATTGACTATTGTGAAAGTACTGATGTAATCATATCCGTCATCATCCTGTTTTAAAATCCTAAATATCAAACATGTTTGATATGATCAGGGCGGCCCCAATTTGTGTGCGAGCAGATGCATGATTCGATCTGTTCCGCACGAACATCAGAACCGACCCAGGTCCTCAACAAGATTTTTTTTCTCTGATACAAAACTCCTGTAGTCTGAGCCCGGCTTTAGCCGCAGAGAAATTTCCTGAGAATTAGTTTTCCCTTTTCTTAAAGGGGTCATATGATGTTGCTAAAAAAAAAAAGAACATTATTTTGTGTATTTGGTGTAATGAAATGTGTTTATGCGGTTTAAGGTTAAAAAAAACACATTTTCCACATACTGTACATTATTGTTTCTCCTCTACGCCTTTCTGAAACGCGTCGATTTTTACAAATATCATCGGTCTGAAAAGCGAGGTTTGCTCTGATTGGCCAGCTTTCCAGTGCGTTGTGATTGGCTGAACTTTTCTCTTTCGAAACTGTTTACATTCACTTAAGAAAAAAACAATAGTGCTTATTGGATACTCGCCAGGATGGCCATTTTAACGTCATTTTGTGTGTATTTTTGTCGCTTAAACGCAACAAGCTGCTTAGAGCCCTGCATTTCAGCCCGAGCCCGACGGGCCCCGACTTATTTATGGCTTGGGGACAATTTTCACGTCAGAGCTCAGACGCGGGACGGGCATCGGGCTTGTTTTAGGCTTCCTCATTTTTATATTTTAGATATCCATCCATTTTTATGGTGATGAAAAGGATTTGCCGCGCTGGTGGAAACAACACGAGACCGTGCTACCGCGACTGTCAAGAGTGGCTCGGACGGTGTTTAGTGTCCAGCAGCAGTGAGTGCTGGAAGAGTTCCGCGTTAAAGCGCACACAATAAAGCTTGCCGCAAAACCCCAGCAAGTAATTACCATGATGAATGTGTCAGAGCCAGGGGAAATACAATATTAGCTGAGTTTCGGTTCATTTTTGTGAAGCACTTCTGCTCAAGACCGAGATGGCAGAAAGCGCCAAGTTTGTTTTCTAAAAAATCACTACGTATGCTGATATTGTGAGTGCACACAAATAAAAGTAGACCCTTAACAGTCCCGAATGATATATTACTCTTACCTTTATGAGCAAAAATGACAGTTGTTTCCACTGTTATAAGAAAAAAATGCAAGTGATCGCGCTGGCGACTCCAAGTCCAGCAGAGCGCGCTTTAGCTTCCATTCTCCGCACAAACGATTGGATACGCGCCTAATATAGCACACATTGATATAGGTTAAACGTTTAAACTAACATTGTGATATGCTTTTTAAAGTATTTTATATAGAGATTTTATTTTAGTCAAGTGGTGATGATTTGAGAAGGCTAAATTGATCAAACATAGGCTATGATTAACTCACTGTCTGCCGCTGGCCGCTCGTTACTTTAAAAAACAAAAACTTAAATTTAACAAACAAAAAAATGTTCCAAACATATTTCTAAATTAACTTAATAAAGAAACGAAAATAAATATAACCACTTTGCCATTAAAAACGAAACTGAACTATTTTAATGGCTACAACAGCAGCTGTGTAATTGGGGAAGAGAGAAAGAGAAAAAAAAGACACGGGCTACAGTCGGCTGGTAATTCTGAAAAGCTGTTGGACAAGGGCCGGACAAGGGCATATGTTTGAGGCCAGTGCAGGGTTCTACTGAGCTTGTCTGGTACCAATCTCAATTTGGTACTCGCAAGGCAGCTTTATATATGCATGAGTGCGCTTTGGACGTGACTGCACACCATCTCTGGAGCACGCGAGTACCGAATGGCTAAAAAGACGTGCAAATAAATAATACATTTTTGTGATGATGCAACAACGAGCCGATTAGGTAAGTGACAATTCTGTCAACTGTACCCGAAACGCGAGCGAAAGTCTTGTATCGCGGCGTGCAGCAGCTCTTTAGTACAGAGGAGATGCGCCGATGTGAAGCCGTTTTAAGAGAAAGTCAAAGAGAGAAGACGCGGTACAGCTGAATCACTCACGCTCTTTTCAAATGACTGATTTGATCTGATATTCTGTGTGGATTTATTCCCATCACACATACATGCTATAGGCTATTGAATAAATGTGTGAATATCCATCATTTTAAAGTCAAAAGCTGCAGGAATGAGTAAAACTCTATGTGATGTAGCCTATGCGCAATCCCACACCAAAATTCAGGACCTCATTAAACATAATTCTATAATACAAAGTTTTGTGAAATAGATTTCCATGACTTTTCCAAAACTGGGTTTATTTATTTTTCCAAAACTTTTCCAGGCCTGGAAATTGCCATTTTAAAATTCCATGATTTTTCCGGGTTTTTCGTGACCGTACGACCCCTGTTATTAACCACTCTGTGAATTCCATTACAGAAATTGACTGCAGGTTCTGATGCTAAATCAGGAAATGTTCTTGAGACAGCAATCAATACCTAAGGACTCCCTCCATTTCCATTCTAGACATGATGAGAAAGACAACAAAAAAGACAAACCAATCCAATGTGAGATGGATTCGATAATAAAAACGACAAGATTGCAAAGATCCTAAAGATGTATCATTTCAGAGAAAGCTTTAGCAATAACACTAGTATGTCAGTTGTTGGTTGTATTTAAATTGATTGCCATATCAGCTTCACCGGCTATTACGTGGCAGATACAGATTAAACATTCAACAATATAATATAATAAATACATTCTAATAAAAACAAAAATTTTCGGTTCTTTAAATGTAAGTTTTTCTGTCCATCTTACAAAATAAGTCCTTAAAAGTTACTAGTATGTTGGTAACTTCCTGTCCCGTTATACAGCAGCGTGCATTACTTGCTGTTTAGAATACAGAGTGATGTCTGAGATATGCATGCTGGTCTGTTTTCATGAAATATTCATCACGCCTCTCGGTTTACATTGTTTTGCTTGGCATTATTTGCCTGAAGGATACAGAAGTGTGGGGCTGGGGGGCTGTCACTGCATATCCCGTATGAGGAGAGATATACAGAGAGAGAGACAGAAAAACAGACTACTGAGTTCAGAGAGCACGGCTCAAAACTCTGCATCATAATCTGCCACATCTGCCCTCTACAGTGCACAACCTCTCCAACATCACACTGCTCATGTGTATAAGATAGCAAACGGCATCTGAACGGAGAAGGAGGCAACTGAGTGTGAAAAAAGCAAATAAGTAAAGCTGGATATGAAATCTGTGACAGAAGAGCAGTGCTGCAGAATGACAGTACGAGAAGAGACAGAAAAAAATGGGTGGCTGTAGACTAATTTAAACAACGCCGAACAGCCCATCCAAGCTCTCTCTCGCTCTGGCTGACGCTGCATGTGCGACTGCAGGAGCGAGAAGTCCTTGGCATGTAACGAGCTGTTAATGAAATAAGAGGAAGATGTTCTGTAATGATTTATTCAGTCCAGATCAAGCCTGTCAATGACATCAGCTGCTAGGGCTGGGCGGTATACTGAATATTTATGACATTTTGGTGATGATTTCATTCACAGATTTAGGAAGTTAGATTCAGTTACTCTGATCAGTTCTCTCTTGTTGGTTTTGATTCAGCAATTAATTTGCATCATCACTTATACAGTAGGTGTTCACAGATTGATTTTACTTTTTAAAAAATGTATAAAAAAATAATAATTAAAAAAGTCTCCATGAGTCACAAAGCAAATTAATTGCTGAAAAAGTATAGTTTGCCACTGTTCAAATGTTTGGGGTCAGTAAGACTCTATTTATTTGTTTGTTTGTTCATTTAAAAAAATAATATTTTTATTCAACAAAGATGCATTGATC